TTTACTACATTTGTATTCAAATATTATTTTTTGATATTGTTTAATAAAACACTAAGTGAATTTGTGTCTAAGACCTTAATATTTTCAGGGAGTTTTTAAAAATAAGTTCATATCATATATCATAATGTAACCATGAAATCTGTAAAAAAAAAAAAAAAGAGTACCTGTGTGAAATACACATTATTTTTTGTTTCAACTTCCTGGACACATCTATGCGTTTTTTTTTTTTCTAAGGGGAAAGGGCCAAAATACCTGGATGTTGAAGCGAATAAAATCTATAAACCATTCGGGAAGCCTCGAGTGGGCCTTTGTTCGCCCCCCCTCCCATTCCCATAGTATTAAAGGATCAAGTGAATACACGCCACTGGCTGGAGTTCGTGTGGTGCCGTGAGAGTACGCCGCACATTTGCCGCGTCTTACACATACAGGATTTCACTTGGGTACAGGCATCACCGTATACAGTCGTATATTATAATAGGCAACACGCGCAGACGGACCAGATTCCTTTGTATTCACGATTAACACTGTAAAATAATAATAATTACAATAGATCTATGAAATCTCATAATACGCGTTAAGTCGATCTTTGCACGTTTTTTTTTTTTTTCAGGTCATATTATTATTTCTATTGACACGGATACGATTTGTGTATAATAAAAATCGTGGCTCCTGAACATCGATGTCACTTATTGTTGTTATACAGTCGGTGTCGGTATGCAACTACTTTAAACGGCGAGAAGGACGGAGGGGGCGGTGGAGGGGTAGGGGCGACCGCGATCGTTACACTATCACTATTATTTAGTTTCGAGTTTACGACCGAGACTTTTACTTTCGTCGTTACACTGGATACATTATATTATTATGCGCTGTACGCCAGACCGCCGTCTCTCAGCCGGTAGACACCGCACAATAACACAACGGCAATGATTGGTACGCCTGCCGTCGAACGACACATTATTCCAACGTTTGTCCGCCAAATTGGTACGCGAGGGGGCCCGACAATACGGCGGATATGGCATTACGCGTACTGCGTTTCGTAAAACGTCCGATAAAAATATCTCACGATTTATGTCCCGCGGCGCTTGACCGGGTTCGGAAAAACCGTCCGAACCGTAACGATAAAATACAACGCGATTAGATTCTCGCCAAAAGGATTACGGACGTTCGAACGGCTTTGACTCGCGCGCTCGATTCGATCGGAAAATCGGCGTTTCGGCGGACCTCTTGCGGGGACTGTTCGTTTTGAGGCGTTTTCTAATGCTGAAAATGCCGGCTCGCCGCGCGCGTAATATAGTAAACAACCGAAACGATTATTATTTGCGTCGCTTTTACGTTCACTTCGGTGGTTTTATTTATTTGCAAAGTAAACGCCGAAAACCAATCGGCCATTTAAGCGTCGTAAAAATCCTATTCTCAATTATATCGTTTTTCTGTTTGTTTAGTACATTGAGAGGTCGGTTTTTTTTTTTATTTTCCTTGTAGTTTTCTTTATGATTAGATAAAATAAGAGAGAATTTAGAGGTTCAGTTATTTAATTTTTTAATTTTTTTTAATTCGTTTTAAAATAATCGTAGAGACCTGACAGAATACTTATATATTATTCTTTTCAAGGCGCGGTACAGTTGTCGAAATTTTCCCGCGATTGTTTTTGGCTATTTATAGGCGTTTTACATTTTCCGGTTTTTGTTTTTTTTTTTAAATTTTTATTGGGTTTTCTGTGGCCAATATTATTTTGGCCGAGCAGAAATGCTCCGAAATTTTACACGAGGTTTACCCATAAATCGCGCAAAAATGAAAAAGCTCAGCCAAACGCAGTGGTTTTTATTTTATAATTTTAAATTTTGACAAAAACCAGGCGTTTCAAAACGCGTTGAACCGAACTTCGCTCGGGATTTTTTTTTTTTCTATTTAATTTTCCTCTCTGTAATTTCTACCGTGACTGTTGTAATGCCATTATAAATGTTATTCTGTTACGTTTCCCTAGACCTAATATAGTGAATTACAAACAATTAATCACGCTGCTAAATAAGGACAACCCTGTAATAATCTATTTGATCAATGTTTTGTAAATAGGACTATACGTTTTTTTTTTTTTTTTTTTTGTACAAATGTAGGTTTAATATAATTGTGTATAATGATTTCAATATTTCCTACACGTAGACACTTTTAACAGGACACCATTATGGAATGTTGCAAAAAACCGCAGCAGTAACATTGGAATATCTGCAATATTTTTCTTATGTACGATGTTATACGCGAGATAAAGTTCGTAAACTCGTCGACGGATAAATTCTCCCCCCCCCCCCCGGTATGTGCATTCGATATTACCGTCTGGGTCTCGGACGATCGGTCCGGATCCAGAACTAACCGTTGAACACGGTTTTAGCAAAACTTACAAATCGGTCGCGAACGCGACGATTTTGGCCGTGGTCGTCCTTGGAAAACAGATTACAAGTTTGTGCCGCAGACACCGCCAGCGCGTTCAGTTTTGACACCGTCAGAGAACAAAACGTTATTATTATTTATTTTGCAATCGGACGCGAATACACAATAGGACACTGGGATAGTTGGCGCATCATTTACGGTGATGAAATAATACGGTAATGTAATTTTGATTACGTTTTCCGTCGCGTTTACGCGTTTAATGATAATTGTTATTAAGCCGGCCGAAAAAACATCAGATAAAAATACGCCGGTCCGGACGGTGAATTTTGTAGACTTTTAAGCCGTCAACGCGAACCGCACGCGCCCGCGAACGGACGGAATAAATGGTATGCAAAAACCGTTCGAATGCGTTTCATATCCGTGCGAGCCAGCCAATAGTAAAATATTCGTCCGACACCGGTGAGTCGCTGTTAGTGGTTTCGGATTATTTGAAGAAAAAACAAAGTGACCGGCGATTCCGAAAACCGGTAGGTCAAAAAATATACGACTTACCAAAGACCCTTCCCCCCCCCCTCACTTCGAAATGGTTTTGTTTAAAAACATAGAAATATTATGGAAACGAAATAGTGACAAGGCGGGGGGAGGCGGGACGATCACCGTTAAAATACGGCAGACAAAAAAAAATGGCTTTTTTTTTTACATTTCATATAGTATTACGAATTTCAATTGCCCTTTGCCCAGCGCTGGCCGACAAACAGAAAACACACGCGGTTGCAGACTATCTACGCAAACGCGAGTTTATTTATTAACCGTCCGGAGAGAAAAGTCTGGAGTTTCGTCGCTGATCCATACGGGCGCGTAATCACAAAGTAGAAAATACGCAAATAGAAAAATCTGTTAGAACTAGTAAAACGAATTTGTTTTGTTTTTTTTTTTTCTTTAACTATCGAACGCCGAGTTACGGTCTCGGTAATGATATTGTACGGCGGTTTTTTTTCTGTATTTCGACGATCGCTAAAGCGGCGGCGTATATCGGCCAAACCGTTTCGAACCACCGGACACCGTCGGTGGTAACCCCACTGTGAAACGCGGTGCGCGCAGATAACGATAACATTTTATAACGTAATAACAATGTAAAAACGCGGTGGCGGCACGGCCGAAGAAAGTGTTAAGCGAACGCGGGTCCCGGGCATTATACGTATAATAACATACAGGGTGATTGTTTTATCACGAACCGGCGATTAAATCGGCCAAACACCCGCGGCAATTATTTCGAGCAGGCGCCAGTACGCCCGCCCGATTTCGATTTCGGTTTGTTTTTTCTCCGCGTTTCGGAACCGTTTTAAAAACGGCGCGGTCCAACACACCAACTACACGTTGGCGCACACGCGTCACGCACACTTAAAACTCTGATATTCGAAATGCAAATGTTTTTCCAACGGTTCTGATACGCGCAGGGTATTTGAAGTTACACCGCAGTAATCGCGTATTCGTGTCTCCGGTGTTTTGCAACCGCGTGAGATTTAAATATCGGAATAACGAGTCTACGTTATTAATTTTTTTTTTTTTTCGGAGATGGATTGTAGCACATTTTACAGTTTTTTTTTTTTAGATTGTGAGTGAAACGAGGAACGTATTCGGTTTTACAACGATGTTTATTTTTATATTTTTAACGCATATATTATGTTTTCGAGTTTCGCTCCCGCATAAGCTCACGTCCAGAAGTCCACAAGTCACGAGTCACAACCCGAACCGTATCGGCGGGAAGAATAATGATCCGTTTCGCGATGATTCTCCCCCCCCCCCCCCCNCCCCCCCCCGCGTGCGTCCGTGAGCAGTCGAAAAACGCGCAGGGACGTCTAGCGCGTCGCGCGTCCCGAGAACGGTCCAGAAATAGCCTTCAAACGAAAATGTCATTTATCCGGGGGAAAAAAAAACATAGGTACGGACGGGTGCAAAAGAGCCGCGCAACAGCTGCGGTACAGCGCAATCGCGTCTCACAACTGCCACGTGTCTAAACGTTTTTTCCCGACCGGTCGACTCGCGGGCGACTACACGATAATGCTCAAAACGTCAAAACGTCGGTCCGGATTGCCGCGCGCAACGGTCGCGCCGTGAAAAAGCGGGCCGCGCAAAAGCCAACTCGGAACTCGCGGCGAACTCGGAAACGCCGCGCGGACGACGAAAACCGTATTTAGATTACCGCGACAATAGCATCACCCTGTGTACGCCGCAGTGTGTCAGCGGTTTTCGTATCTGCGACGACAATAGCGTAGCTGTTGCCCGCCTATTATTATTATTGCTGTACGCGCGTTTTTGATTCCTCCTACCGGCCGCGCGTCCGCGTCACTCCTACCGGCCGGCCGACGACGACGCGGCCGTGGCCGCGAGAGGGTCGCCGCCGGCGGGAAATCGAAATTCGGTCGGCCGTCATTCGCGAGCGCGTTCCAGAGCGCGCGGCGTCGTTTTCTCGTCCACCGTTTTTCTCTGTTATCCCGTACAGCGCCGCGCCGCCGCCCGTTTTCTCGACGACGCGCCGCCGGAGTGTTTTTCGCGCGCGCACCGACCGCGAACGGCACGACGGCCGCGCACTTTGTCCGCCGCCGCCGCCGCCGACCGCCGAAACGCCACCGTACCGACCGTACCGCCGTCGCCGCCACCGTCGCCGCGTAACACAGGTTGGTATTTTTATTATAGGTAACGATAATATTATTTTGTTTTGTTTTTTTGTTTTTTAAACGCTTTTCGAAATTCACGCGCGTGTTTCCGCGCTCTACAAGCGATACTCACCCGATCGTTTGTGGACGCGACGCGCGTTTCACCGTAGCCCTACCGCAGTTCATCGAATTATCATAAATCGTGATCGTTTGTCTGCTCGTCATCAGACGCGCGTGCGCGTGCACGTCGTCGGTAATAACAAATATTTTTATCGAAAAATAATGTTTAATAATTAAAAAAAAAAAGAACAATTTCGAGTACGAAATCAGTTCTATGGCGATAGGGCCGATCATAGATTCGCGGCCCGGCCAGCCGGGAAGTTTCCCGGCGGGCCGGCGGCCTAACGAAACGCGTTCCAGCAAAAACAAAAAAAACTGCAAACCGTGTGCACGGTTTTACTCGTAAAAAGCATCGCCCGGATTTCGTTGTATTTTTCTTCGTGATTCTGCAGTCGGCGTTTCCGGCGTGAAACGAACGAATTCGCGTTTCTCAAAAGGGCAAATAATCTCACTCGTGTTCCGTTTAAAACGAACACATTGGACGCGCCGCTTTCAAACGGCGCAATTTACATTACGGTTAAGACGGCGCGTTTGTCGTCCCCGCGATGCACAAAACTCGCGGCGTAGCTGCGGATTTGCGATCCGATCGCGCGCTGTCGGTTATGACAAACAGGGCGACAAACAAGTGCGCGCGAAACATCGGAATTTAAAAACGCTCGTATCTCGGTCGAAATTATCGGACCGTCGGAAACGCTTGCGCTTGCGCGCAGACACGGATCGATGGGGTTTTGCGTTAAGTTTGACGGACAGGTCGATTGTTCGTTCTAACGTCAACGCTAACGGCGCGAAATCGGTTCTGCCGGACGCGAATTCCGCGCGCGTCTGCGAACCGGGCGCGAAACAAACACGCGCGCGTCCGTTCCGCTTTGAAGGACGGGGCGAACTCGCCCGGTCGGCGCCCGGTCGGCGTAACGTCCGAAACGTATTGTACGCGGCGCAAACGGGTAAAATGACTTGCGCGTTCAACGGAACAAGCGACAAGACGGCTGCGAGACGGTGACCGTTTCCGGGGTGACCGGGTGAGACGGCAATGGAACTACGACGGAAAAGCGCGCGGCGCGCGGCGAATTCAAAGGCGACGGCCGTAACGAAGCGCGCGACGTCGCGAACCGATTGTGGTTTCGGGTGTCCGCCGTGGCCGACGGGAGCGAACGTCGGACGTTCAGCACGTACGATCGGACGCACGCCGCGGCGCCCACGTCAAGCATTGCCGCCGCCGAAATCAAGCGTCGATACGGCTGCGAGGGGCGGCCGTAGGAAAAACGTTCGAAACGTCACCGCGGCCAGCGACGCGGGCGCCGCTGACAGAAGAGCGCGGTGGTCACGGCGCGGACGTGCGAACAGAGGGCCGCGACGTGAGCCGGAACCGTTCGTCTCGCGCGCGCCCGAGCCGCGGTCGATTATTGGCGAGGAACGTGTGCCGGACAGGTAACGGCCGTATCCCGGTAGGGGCTGCACCAAAGTTTGCGCTATTGTTGTCATCACGCTGTCGGTTCGGTACCACGACAACGGTAACACCGTGTTTGACAAAAACGAGTCTTTTGCACGGGCACCCGGATAATGTCAGCGGCGCGATCGCTAAGGCGCGAAAGTCGGGTGAGAGAGTCGTTTTGGCGACGGCGAAATGGGCTCCTGAAAATCGCACGTCGATTCCATTAACGATTATTACGCGTCGTGCATAGATTCGGAAAAACGTCGGACGGTAATTCGCGGCCGCCGGGCCGGATGAAAACGAAAAACGTAATAATTCCGTTTATTTATTTCGGAAACGAAGGGCGCGCGGTTCGGGCGGCGAGAGTGCGCGGCCCGTTTTTCGCGCGAACGCGACACCCGGCACCCTGGCTGCGATTTCGGCTCCGGTTTTGCGGGAAATCCCGCGGGTTTCGCGAGAACGCCCGGTTACGAGATCGCCGCGTAAACCGCCGGAACGCGTACCGACAACGGGGGGAGGGGAGAGGGCGACATTTTTACCGGCGTCCGGCTGCGGTGGACTGCGGCGTTACGCGTCGCCGATCGGAATTATCGCTCGCGGGATTACACACCGCCGCGCGTTGACGTCGGCCGCCCGCATCGCGAAAACGACGCGACACGTGAACAACGTTATCCGTCGGGGCGACGAATTAACGTTAACAATAACGACGTTTCCGCACGCGGCGCGCGCGTTGTTCAGACGTCCCGCACGACGCAACGGCACTGTTGCCGTTACACGGGGGGGCGACCGGCGTAACCGCGTGACGAGCGTAACGGCGCGCGTGTCGGGAAAAATACCGTCCGACCGTACTCTCGGTGTTGGTTTCTCGGCGGCTCTGAAACCGTCGCGCCGCTGGGATCTCCGTTTTCCGCCGCCCCTTATTGCACGGCGTATCGACACCACTTGATCCGGTTTCGGTTTCCGAATACGGCCACGCATAGGCGGACGGACGGTTCGGTTTTGAACCGGTCGCGGTGTTGGAGCTGTCGGTCCGCGGTCGGCGCGGGACATTCCACGTTTTGAATTTCGAGACGATAAACGCCCCGCGTCACGTCGACCGCCCTGTACACACGCACGCGCGCGTGCGCATTAGAAAACACGACAATGCGACGCGTGGCGCCCGTTTCCGTCGCCTCGTCACGCGGCGGATAATTTACCTGCCACGGGCGGTGAAAACCGCGCGGCGAACCCACAGGCCGTCCGCCGTTGCGTCTCCAGAGAAAACATTCTCGCGGTGCACCGCGGTCTCCCGTCGCTAAACGGCCGTTTGTTTCGTATCGCTCGCGCGTTGTGAACGATACTCGGGGCCGGACGCCCGTATCGTATCGATACGCGAGCCAACTCTCATACTCGGCGTTCGATCGACCGTCGGATCGTTATTTGACGGCCGCGAATTTTACCGTTATTATTTTTTCTCTCTCAATTACGTTTTTTTCCGATTCTGAGCGCGGCGGGTAACGCGACACGGCGAGTTCCCGTCGGGGATGTACCGCACGACGCGCCGCGCACTCGCGAGATTCGCTTCAAACGCTTCCGGGCGACAATCGGTTCGCGATTTCGACCCCCCGACATTGTTATTGACGCGTCCCCCGGCCCTGTAAACCGCACGGCATCATACGTCTGTGTCCCGTATCGAATTCCCGCGTTTCGCTTATTGGATCGTCGCGTTTAACGTTTGCGTACAAACGTGTGTTTGGCGCCGTCGATTGTACCGTCAGAGTACACATGCATGTCGTATCGGTCCGTGACAAAACCGTAATGCTAGAACGCCGTTTACGTGTTCGCGCGTTGGTGTTTTTCTCGGCGTTTTAGTCCTCCGTGCGCGACATGATGATTTTAAATTATCGGCAGGGTTTTACGTACCCGTAACTCGATTGAAAATGAAAATATCGAGGGAGAAAAAAAAAAAAAAACGGACGCGCAAACACGTAGACAATGCGATTTCACGACATTTACGGTAGCATACGTAGTACAGCGGTATTGGGGACGTGTGATATCGGATTCTTGTTGCGGCCAGAAACGTATATCGACGAATCGGTTTTACGAATTCGGCGCGCGAATTTCGTTACGTTTGTATCGCGCCCGCGTGCGGTTTTTCTGCCGGACGTCATTGTTCCGATCAATAAACGAAAATAGAGCTTTTTTTTTTTTTGTCTACAGCGTCGCGAAAACGTTTTGGGAAATCCTCGTCGATATCCGAGATAACGAGGAAAAACTGGTTGGATAAAAATTAAAAACGAGGTTTTCATCGGCGAAAAACAAATTTATTCGACTTGGTCCAATGAGTCGAATTAATTTTCCAATAGACTCTGAAATCGACTTCCGTGCCTCGGACAATTTATACGCCGGTCGGCTTTGAACGTGTCGTCTCGTCGTAACGGCGCAGCAGTTCAATCAACCGCGCGCACTGTGCACCCGCGGCTGCGGTTTACCGAGTTAACATAAATGTTTACACGTTACCCACTCGCCCAGCCTTGACAATATTGTCGTTTACGTGTCGATAACCGGCCGTCGACGATCGTTCGTCTATTATTTCGTTTCGTATTACAATTATCGTAGCGACGTCCGAACGTGCGATGTTTTTTTTCGTTTTGTTTTTGTTTTTTTTGTTTTTTTTTTTTTTTATTCCTAGTTTCGTTTCCGCCGGTCTTTCGCGCGCACAACACGGCCGGCGGTGGTTTCGCGGCCTTCCACGGTGCGAGCAGTACAACAACCGTAATAACAACAACGCCGCGAAACGGTTTTCGTAAACATTATGCGTTTGCGCGGATTTGTTTTGCATTCGTGTGTTGTGTTTTCTTTCGCCTACCGTTAAACTGACCAGCGACGTTGGCCGGGGACCCGGGGGCTACGCCGCCGCCGCGGCGCGACAAACGCGCAGACCGTTTCGAAACGGAAAACGCCAAACGCCGAATTACGACACGGCGCCGCGCGGGCACGCCGATGACGAGTCGCGGGTCCCCGCGCGCGTTCGGTCCGCGACGGAAAACCCGCGATCGACAGCGCGCACCCGGCGCGACGTTCAAGCCCGGGCCGATCGGCGGACGGTGTCGACGGTATCGAGTTTGAGGCGGCCGAACCGTCAGTTCGAACACCGGGTAGTTCCGTCGCCGCTGAAAGCCCTAGGGCGACAGTTTGATATCGACTACGGGGTTGAACGCGACGTCACACGAACCCGTTCGTCTCGACGGCAAATACTTCGTAACCCGTTTCGAATCCGTCGTCGGCCCGCGGTATTTTTCGGACGCGGTTTTTCAACACGCGTTCGAATCTCCTTTCGCGGGGCGGATGTTCTTTCGCGGTCATAGTCCGCACCGCGGTATAGCGTCTCCTGTTATGCCCGCACCCGGCGTAAAGCGCCGAGTTAAAAAAAAAAAATGTTTTGTTTTTTTTTTTTATTTCAATTCGCCGGTCAACCAAAGCGAATCTACCGGAACACCAGACTACACAAATATTCCATCGGCGACGATCTCGTCACCGACGCGGCTTGTTTTTTACCCGAGCGGTTTTCCCGTTCCCGTCGGCGTTTCCGTTTATCAGTCCGCACACATTTCACGCGAAAAAACGACCGATATAAATTACAACGCAATATCCGTTTCGCGCATACGATTTCGATCGCCAACATCGTTTTTGTCGGTTTTCCAGGGAACTCGTAATGCGCACCGCTGCAGAGAGACGCGCAAATATGCGCGTGCTGTTGTTACTTTGTCCACGAGGATTCGAAACAGTATTTGTTATACGCTGCACTGCTGCGACAGACACGTGCAATAATATAAGCCTAATTTGTTTTGGTCGACATTTACAATTTTTTTTTTTTTTTTGATGTTTACACGCGCGTACTGCATTTTCAAACGTAGAACAATATCGAGTTATGTACCGATACTGTTCGCAAAGGCGGTTTTTAGTTGATTTCTCCGGAGGTTTCGACTTAAACTACACGGTATAATTGTTTCAACTAGTTCGCGTCTGTGTTTTCAACTTTTAACTTTTTTACAATTCATTCTCATAAACATCCAGTTAAGATGGTGGTTAGGTTAACGAGTTTTCGAAACATCGTGTAATGCATATTACTTATTATATCGAATACTTTCAATCCTGCTGCTCCCCGTGCGATGCATTACAACACACTGTATAATCGCGATTTATTTGTTCCAGGCGCATTCAAATATTTATGAAAACGGTGATAGGTGTTCATTGGTAGGGAGAAGTGCATTTCATAAAAGACAAACCATTTTAAACCGTTAACATTTCATTGATGATGACCACATTTTTATTTTTTATTATTATTCCGTTAAGAAAAGTTTGTGTTTGACAAAAACTGATAGTTTTTCAACATTTTTTTTATGTTTGTCTAACCGCTTTGGTGAACCAATACAATTATTATGAAAATAAATTATTCGTATTGCATAGTGTCGATAACGAATAATATTTGAATAATAACATACGACCGTCATTGCAAATCAGGAACCGTTAAAATCGCGGGAAATGCGTGCACGTTATTGTATAGGGTGCGTCGGATAAAAACAGATATTTGTTACGAACAAACTTTTCTTTTGACCGGTCAGTTATGATCGGCCGCCATTATGTTAGCATCTATTTTTACATTTTAACTTTTAACCGGCTCGCTTTATTTTTTGTCAACTTTTATTTATCCGTTTATTTAACCAATCGAGTTGATTATTGTTTGCATTAACCGTTGCACCTTATCGCTCCATCTTTGGTTTTGTATAGTGCGGAAAACGCCTATTGAATTCCTAACGATAAAATGGCAATTTCGTTTTTATAATGTACGAGTGTAATATCTATAATTGTACTTACTCCCCCGCGTTTTGTTGCAGTAAAAAAAAAAAAAAAAAAAAAAAAAAAAAAAAAAAACAATAGTAAAATTGTCTGCAGTATTGCACCAGAAAATATTATCAAGTTCTGTATAATAAATGTTAATAGGAGGGTATTTTATCAAACAGGATACCTTTACATAGTTTACAGAATTAAACGATTTTAGCGACCATTAAACATTTTTTGTTCGTCTTTTGGTTTCATGAAATAATATGTCAACTATACAAATTGAAAAGAAAATATTATTATAAATGTGAAACATCAACAATATATTACAATTAACTCTTTTCTCTCTCTCTCTCTCTCTCTCTCTCTCTCTCTTTCTCTTCCTTTCTGTCTCTCTCTACGTTTTTAGTTGATTTTTAGAAAGTACCGTGATATTTTTCAATTTCGTCGGGAAATTTTCCAATTTTATACGGAAACGTACGTTTGGTATATTGCGTATATTTTTTTCTCCGTTGATCATTATATACACTTATTGCAGCCTATGTATATTATATGGGTAAGTAGTTTTGTAACAAGTTCGATCGTTGAGAAACGTGTTCAGCGATACGTGAACATTAGTTTTCACAGAAAAAAAAAAAACTCAATTTATACTGTCGGTGTTTGATTTTAGGTTAGTCGATTCGACGTCTTCGAATGGGTTCAATAAAGGGAAAGCGTTCAAAATCGGCCGAATCATTTCCCGGCCGTTTCTAAACCGTAAAAATCAAACGTATACTATCGCGAAAAAAAAAACATTTCCGCAGTAGGATTTTTTTTTTTTTTCAATCTCTTTCACGTCTCACACACAATTATTATTATTGTAAATTTTCGACTGCCACGTAAATAATATTACAATAATAATGAAATAGTTCACCAAAAACATGCCAATAAATTACGATCCGGTCTCTACGGATGCCACCGAAATTATAAATATTTGATATTTTTTTTTATTATTATTATTATTATTACCCAACTCGAAATATGCGTTTAGTTTTAAATACTCCGATCTAAGCGAACAGTACTCGAATTCATGGTATTAAAATGAGCATTTTTTTTTTTTTTTTTTTTACTCCGTCTATAGACAAACAATAGAAAAACCATTAGAGCGGTCGTGGTTAAAAAAAATAAACGCCTCTTATCTACAACGGCCGTTTCGGCGTAATACGCGGTATTTGTATGCGCGTACAACCGTATCCAGTTATATTTGCATAAAAAACCCATGAACATTGCGATGCTATCAATATTCTAATATTTTGATTGTGGTGCGTGTGTTTTCGATTACACGTAAATACGACGCGCAGTAGTGTTTTCATTTACTACACGGTAGTTAAATTCGCCGACGACCCGTTTACGAAAACGTTCGGAGCAGCGCATTCGATAATTCATCCAGGTGTTTCCGTATTATACGTGCCTGTATATGATTATCGTGTAAAAAAATACCATCCAGTGCCCGATTTTTCTTGTTTCCCGTCGGCGTGTTCCCGTCTATTCCCGCTTTTCGAATCGTGGTTCCCCGCGCCATAGTCTGTCCGTCGCGCCCTGCCGTCGAGGAGATGTATCTACTACCTTTGTCATGTTATTATACATCCATGGCTTTTAATTTATTTTTTCCCAAAGTTCCACTTTGCCTTTACCTACCGTTCTTGAACTCTTCCGTTATTTTTACAGTTATAGACACAACCTTAAAGCTTCATTTTTTATATTCGTTTCTCGTCCGATCTATCCTTGTGATACAAAGACATTCACCGTGACATTTTCATCTCGTTGTGTACTGTTACTGTTTTCAGTAACAACGCTGGACATTTCACAGTTAACACAAATCAAAATCACAACTGTCGAGTGAATAGCTTCTAAAACCCTATCGGGAAAGTTAAGGCACAGAACTGAGAAGTTCTGTCCCATGTTCTCTTTTGTTCTCTTTTAAAATAACAGCAATATCGGGAATATGGGAGATACTTTGCGATACGACAAAAACGGGTTGTCTTGAGCTACACAAGTCCTAACCTAAAAATCCCAGTATAATTTTCGAGGGAGATGATGTATAGCCAATTCAAATAAATAAAAAAAAATTATAATAATATTTTTAAATGTATTTAATATTAATACCATATACTCACCTACGTACCTATACAAAGCTGGGCAGTGGGCAAGTTAACGAATTTATTTAAACTAATTTAGGATATCCTAAAAAAAAAAAAAAAAAAACATCTAAGTTATAGATTTTTTTTTAATTTAAATAAATTTGAGTAACTAATAAGTTAATTTACATATTTTCAAGATAATTATAATTTACTGAAGTTAAAGTTACTTTTTTTTAAAAAAAATTACCATTTACCTACTTTATACAATATACACTCTTCAAAGTATTTTGCACTCTGGTATCCACGTGAAAATATCTAAATTTCGTCAAAAAATAAATATTGCGAAAAACATAGATGCAGAATTTTTTTTTTTTTTTTCGAAAGAAAAATTCGTAAATAACGTTTTTTTACAAAATAAACCGAGTCATGTGAACATCATTTATTTAAAAAAAATAACCAAGGTATTAACTCACGTCTTATTCGCTATGCTATGTAATTAAATGGGTACGATTTTCGGTATCTATGCCGTGTTAACAATATTATTGCCGTATATACGGGTCGACGGCCTAAGTATTATATAGTGGCGGTGTTTTTAATAAGCGGTGAGATTACAGAATTGCCGGTGTATAGAATATTGAGCGTTTCCTTGATAAACGTGTACCCGGGCAATAGGTAACGTGACGAATGATAATATTTGATTTGCCGGTAATGGAAATTACGAGTATTTATATTATATAGGTACCCAAAACAACCGTTAGTCGTACATTTTGCACAGTGGCAATTTTTCGCCACACATATACACAATATCAACCATTTGCGCCGGCTAGGAAATGTATCGATCCACTGAGATCCATTTAGGGTTTTCACCGGTCCAAAATCGTGCAACATAGTTCAAATTGATATAAATTCAATTAAAAACGAGTATAATTTTGCACATTCCACATGTCGACGATAAAAAAAAAAAAAAAAAAAAAACAAATGCTATTCCTATACACAAATGTGATTCCTCGACTCGAGGAATAACCCTTATTTTTTAAGTCGAGAAAATTGATTCCGGGACAAAAAAAAAAAAAAAAAACAAACAATTTGTAATTAACATTTATTTTCTCAATTAATTTATTATAATAATAATATTACCCCGTAGAACATATTGGGATCTAAATTCAACTATAGGTAACACATGCCGTTTGTGCTGATACCGAATGCAGCTGATGTCGCTTATCGTAAGGGGGCACCCTCATATTTGTTTACATCATGAGCCGTTTGTTTTATTGTTTGAAATGTTCGTTCGTATGTGTGGTCGCCTGAAAGATGCACTAGCGCGCATGCACAGTATGTAACGATATAATTATGTTAGGTCCGAACGTTATAGAGCTAGTACCTTTATTTCGGCACAATAACCTGCTACTAGAGTGCAAACCCTTCTAGTTTAGATTCCAACAGGTACTGCAGCGGTTTTCTACGTCATAAACAAACATCAAAGTAAATACTAAATTATTATTGAAACTGATATACGGCGAATCAGTGACGGACCCTGGGTTATAAATATTACGAAAAATAAAAACTGGAACTGTTTCTTGAAACTTTGCGCCCGGAATCTGTAGCTAATAAATCTGATCGTTTGTCTCGTGTACGACTCGTCCAGGTCAATCAACAAGACTGCGGTTTCTTTTCGTTCAAAACTAAAAATACACTGTTCGAATTTGTTGTTTTAGAGTTTTCTGAAAATATTAACTTAGCCCCCCCCCCAACCAATTGTCCGGAGCCACCTCTGTATCAGTTTTAGTTGTAGCTTTTATTTATGTAACCGCATAAAATTCATTATGTCCAGAAAATGTACTGTAGCATCTGTCCGTATATCCCAATCGTCAGAATCGGTTGCCGATCTGTTACAAAATGCATTTCCAAATGGGTTTCCAGATTATTTCGAAAGAAATTTTAATTTTCCTTTTCATTTAATACAGACTAAGGACAGTCAACGCATTGCTGTTGATTTTATTACACGCACGATTATAATGTGTGATATAATATTATCATATACGATATTACGCAAATGCCAACGCTATTTAATACGCACGCTTTACAGTTGTTGGCGCATTACTGAATGCAGTAACGACAATTTGTTATATTACCCGCACGTAATAACGGGAAATATGTTAGATTGCATTTCGTCTTTTTCGAAAGTCGTTGCCGGGAAACCAGTGCTGTGCCGTCAGGTAGGCAGCGGCCGAAAATGAAGACAAATTTTAACATTTATTATGTTTAACGACAATGTGACCCATACGTGGAAATCGCAACTGTTTATTAATTCTTATAGGATTATTCGAATTAAAACAATTTTTTCAGGTTTGTTAGAAAGAAATTGCATTCATCTGTATTCGTGTAGGCAATTTCCTTACGGAAATGCTCGTATTTCAGACTGTCCGGTTCGCGTCGTTAACCGGTCGCGGTAGAAGAGGATGTTCACGTTTTTGTAATAAATTAATAATTTAAAAAAAAAATAAAATAAAAATATTACGGCGCATTAATAATGTACCGACGCCTATGCGCAGACTTTTAAAACCCTATACGTTTTAAATTCATGATTCGAGCACGGTTTTTTCGTAATAATTCATGTGGACGCCGGATGAACACGACAGTGTTCAACTATCACTAACACATTGATTATATTATTACCGTTCGTGTTTCATTATGAACTCCGCGCCGTTCCATATTATTATTATGTCGACGCAGAAATAATATAAGCGAAGAATTCGAGAATTCGAAGTGTTTGTCGAAACGTAATATCTTGTTCGTGCGATGAATGTTCATTTGTACGGTTTGTTTCAGGTATCTTTTCTATGCCGGACACTTCTAGTGATCTCCATTCGGAAGAAGACAATAATATGTTAGACGGACTACAGCTTCGCGGCCGGTCCTTCGACGTCTCTCCCGACCACTCGAGATCGCCGAGCACCGAGGACGGTTCGTTTTACCACCCGGACAATAATAACGTGTCCGAGGACGATGACGATAATGTTAAAAGTACGTCGGTTGTGACCGTAGCATATTATCTGTATTATATAATCTACTCATTTTTGTTCCTTTTCGAATGTTGAATGACGGTTGTTTTCGTACCATTTCAGTTGTACTATCTAATACTTACCATACATCTCAAAATCATATTGGCCGTATTTCCGAAAACAACTTAACCCCATCACCTCCTCGTTCCATTTCTAGATAAATTACAAAGTACGTAGGTACAGGCGTATGCACTCGTATACGTAGTTCAGATATAGAAAAGGTGTAACAATAAGGAATAAAAACATAAATTAGATTTCCTCCCCCCCCCCCGGGCAACGAAACCGGAACTTTGAACTGCCCAGCTGTTTACAGTCGTCGTATTAGCTGAAATACTCGATATTTTCCGGGCTCGATCCTTTAAAAAACATAAATCAACAAACAAATTAAATCTTAGTTCCATAAATACCAAAAAAACCCCTTATCGGCAACACGGAAGGGATTGAATTTCGAAACGCATTGTAGATTTCCTCTTGTTTTTGGATGGCAAACGCGCAATGTTTCACCGAGATTGGAATACTGCTGTAGACTCGTATAGCGGACATACAGACAGACAGAATTTGAATTTTATACACATAATATACCTATAAGATTATTTAATCAGAAATTTTAAAACGTTTGTATAATACTAATTGTATTGCACACACAGGCGATTCGGATCAGAGTTCGGACGGCGAGAAATCGAGGAAGCCGTTGACGGGCAAACGAAAACGACAGACGAGCGGCGACGAGGACGACGACGCGCCGACAACGCCGAAAACGAGACGGTGCCGAAGGAGCATCCGGCAAAGGCGTTCCGTGGACTCGCTGTCCGCCAAGGACCGAAATCTACGGCGGTTGGAGAGCAATGAGCGCGAGCGATTGCGCATGCACTCGCTGAATGACGCCTTTGAGGTTGGCGGAAAAGCGAATAGTTTAATACATTTTTAACAACGATTCATTTTACGAGTAATACTTTACCACAACTTGCGTAGATTTTTTTCTCACAAAATACTCTTTTCGGTCCCCGAACAAGATTCAATAGCAACACTTTAACACCGTAACCGATTTATGGATCTTCCGTCCGACGCAGCGAAACGATTTTCTACATTCCAAAACAGAATTTGCACAAAAATAAAATAAAAAACTGATCGCAAATGTGACGATACAACGGTTTCGGGCAAAATCTCTATAGGGAACTGCAATTTCAAATACCTCATAGAATATGGGAGTACGAAATATCTTATTTTTATTTTAGATACTCAGCATAATGTCTTGGTTTTACTATAATGTAAATTCTATTTTTTGTCTATGACATCATTTTGACCCTAGTTAGTGCATTCGAGTGGTGCTATACTTTTTTTAATTACAAATATTTGAAACTACTATTTCTGAAAATTCTTTTTTTGAATCTATAATATAATTTGGAAACTGTTCATTTTTGATGAACAGAACTTGAATCTAAATTATATAAACAATTAAAACTTTGAATTGACATTATTTTGATTTCTGGAAACAAAATGTTAAATTGTGTACCTACGTTCCGATAGAAATATTTGCTAAGAAAATCCAGTAATTCCCAATTTTGTCACGGATTGAAAAATTAATTTTTAGGCGCTAAGTAGGCAACTTATTATGCTATTAGCAGTTCAATCTCAGATAAAGTATATGGGTAATTTGGGAATCACTGAGCTGTTTTTTTTTTTATCAAATATTGATAGTAAGTTTTTTTATAAATTTAATAAATTGTCTAAAAGTATTCTCTCGATATGTGAGTTGTTTAAATGTATTTGATATTTTTGATTTTTTTTATAGTTTTTATTAAGTTTTGTATGGATAGAATTGTTTTGACCAAACATAAATGTTTAAACATTTTAGACAACGTTCATCATAAGCAGTTCATTGTGGTAAATTAAAAAAAAAGAAAAAAAGTTGAGGATTTTGTAGTTATTTTTTTTATACGTGTTTTAAAGCAACGTTCGAAAATGTTTTTATAATAATATACTTGTCAAAAACCGATTGAAATAGTTAATATTAAATTAATATTAAATTAACACTACACAAGATTGTGTCAAAAACAAAGATTTTAGTTAAACAAAATATACAAAACGATAAAACAATTAATTAAAAAAAATAACAGAACGAAAAATAATCGTAAAACAATAAACGATGGATAATAAAAATAGTATTGATAATTTTCATAATTATTCCGTACAACGTTAACACGATAAACATTTACATAATATAATTTATACACGAATTCCAATAATAGCTAATAAAATGGTTTTATTTTATCTAGAAAATACATAGATTTTGAGCGAAGCGAGGAATGCATTGGTTTTATAATGATGTTTATTTAATATTCTTTTTTATTTGTAAACATCTTTTCTACTTGAAATGGCAGAAATCTTAATCTCTAGTATAATATCTTTTCTGAAAAGAAATTTTATTTGAAAGGTACTATAAGTAAGACATGAGTACTTTAGGTCATTTTTCGATTTTCCTAGCGGTTTTCATAACATTTGAGAAAATCTAGGAAAAACGTAGAAAAACGCGAAAATGTTACGATAATGTTCTTGTTAATTTAAATTTTGTTTTTTTTTTTTATGTATTTCAGTTAAAAATGTTTGTATAAACTTGAAATTTGAACAGAAAACTTATATTTTCCTGACATGATAAAATTTTCAAAGCCATTTTTGAGTTATTTATAAGAATACTAATTTTGTGGGTTTTTCACGTAATTATTATTTGGTAGTATTCTATAAATAAAACTGTTAAACCAAACAGAAATACTAGAAAATTTAACAGGAGGTTTATTATAAATCGTAATATTTGATAAAAAAAAAAAAAAACATAAGTATAATGTACAATTTATTTCTATAAAACTTTAAATACAAAATTTTGACAAAAATCGTAAATATTACGGCTTTTCAAAACATGTATAACCGAACACCGCTCAGAATCGTTTTTCGTTAGTAATGATAAATCGTTGCGTACAGATATACATTCAATTTTCTTTTACCTTTCCAACTTCTCTTCTAATACAGTGTGTCACCATCGTGCGAAGTACGTCCGTATTTTTAATTCATAATTCTTCATCTGTCTATTTTTAAATCCTAACTGGTACTCAAAAGTTGAAAGAAAACAAAATAATGAGAAATAAATGAAAAAGTTAAATCAAATTAAGTGTTACAAACAAAATCTATTGTAATATCCCATTCATATGAGATCAACATTTTATTTTACATAATCTAATCATTTTTTATTTTTTTTCTATCTATTAAGAGTTCAATTAGTCAATAGAGTTCGTACGTTGATTTTATATATTTTTTAATATTTCATAAATCTGTTATCACACAGCTCAAATTACAGTGAAGTCTGTTATTTTGCCTGTTTAAAACCTCGAAGGAATATTCAATTCTTCGGTGTATGTACGAATATAATAATATATTGTCCGCTATTAATTATATTACAACAAACACTTTTCAATAATTCTAAAACGAATCTTGTGTTTAATTAAATCGTCTACGTTTAAATACTTGCGTTCACATCATTGTCAATAATACGGGATGTTTTTGTTGTAGAAACTACGAGAAGTCGTGCCGCACGTGAAAATGGGACGTAAATTATCAAAGCTGGAGACGTTAACGCTGGCAAAAAACTACATTATGGCGCTGACCAACGTTATATGCGAGATGAGAGGCGAACAAAAGCCGTTTACGTGAGGACATTTTACGCATACCATTGTTATTATAACACCCGCAGTACCGTGTAAATATATAATAATATCATTAATCGTGTACGGTACATTTCAGTTTTGATGATCCCGATCAAGCCGAAAACGACTACGCTTCAAGCAACGACGGCGGTTTCGAGTCGGGCAATAGCACTAAGACGCCAACGTCGAATTTGGAACAAGAGTTACTTTCGTCGGACTAGAAAATAAAAAAGAGCACCTTCATTTCTAATTCCTATATTATTATATTATATTAGTCGTGTACAAACCAAACTTTACTTTTCTTTTTTTTTTTTTTTAAAGTTACTTTTAGGTATAATAATATTATTGTTATTTTAAAATATTTTACCAAAATACTACCTATTGTTATTTTATTATTATTATTATTATTATTATTATTATCATTATCATTATTATTGCATTGTATTTGATAAATAATACGTTAGGTACGCTAGGTATTATGTATTGCCGTTCGGCATGTGCAAATTCCATATTTCCTAATTCTTTTGTGATGACATCGACGGTGCGGACGGCCATACCGTAAAAGAGTAAAAGTAGGTATGGTTCGTAGTGGAACTATCACGGGTGTTATCGGATGTGAAGTAATATGAAATTGCTGTTGGCGTACATGATAATTATATAATAACAAATCCACCACACCGGGTCAACCGTGATGAACGATAAGGTCATCGAATAATATGTCATCGGATTTAAAAATAAGAAACGGCACCGATGCCGCCTGTGTCATCACAGATGAATTCAGGTATATACGGATCGTATGGGCGTTAAACATTATTTTTAACGTTATGTTTTTACCATTCCTACATGAAATGTTTAATTGAATCGTTAAAGCACGTCAGTATAATATTATCACCTTGTTAAAATGTCAAAAATATAAATATATTGATTTTTCAACTGAACCGTTTGGGTATTTGTATCCGAATTGTGCCAAGTATGTAAGGCGTGTAGGATTACCGGCGTAAACTTTTACTCTACTTGCACATACGTTTTGATTGTTTAAAATTCAACAAAACAGACAATAGTAATTGGTATAGGCACGTGAATAATTATTAGGTTATGCATTATTCGCCAGTTGTGTTGTTTTTATTTCGGGGTAATCGGGATGATTGGGATAATTCGTTCTATAATAAATAGGCCTGTACGATTATTGTTTTCCCGATGTTTAATTTATTATAATTTACAGTTATTATTTTAGCGCATTTTTTTCGATAATATCGTGTTTTGATTTTCGACAAGCTCTTAGGAATTTTCAGTTACCTTATAATAATTCTCGGAGGGTTCGTTAATTTTATGAAATTATAAAACAAAATATTCCACAAACGGCTCATGAAAGCCATATGAAATCTATTTCGTAAATACTTATTATTGATACTGCTGTGCCCAGTGGAATTGTGGGAGGCAAGGTAGGGCACTTACCCCCTTGATATGGCGTGGCGTAGGTATCATTTTGCCTCCCCTCCAGTACAAATCATTGAATCTTCTTATGTTAAGAAAGAATGTATTGCGAATGAATCGCACATTTAAGTGCATAGGTACTTTGTGTTTTTTTCTGTTGCGTCGTTCTCGATTATTGTTGAAAATTCAATGTTGGTTTACGGTGTAAATAGGCACTAAAAATAGAATTTATATCAAATTTCAAAAAAACCATAATGATTATTAATTAATATAACAACAATAAAATAGGTAGGTACGAACCTATTTTTTTTTTCATATACTATTTTAAAATAAATTTGTCTTTTTAAAATTTTACTCTGTGTCCGTGTTTTTTATTTTTTTTAACGCATACGTATTATTCGATTTATCATACATATTAGAGATGTTACGAACCTAGATTTTTAGGGCCGAACCGAACCGAATTTACACATTTATATTCGAATCCGAACTGAATCAAACTTTTAAAATATTTGATCGAACTTGGACATTAAAAAAGTAAAAATGTTAGGTTAGGTTAGGTGTTTAACTTAACCTAACCTAGGTTCTCAAACTGCTCGGCTCCGTGATTTACGATTATGAGACCCACTAGTGTAAAAATAGTTGAATTTTCCTTTTTCGTAACAAGGGCCGCCTTGTTTCACCCACAGCTACACAACTCACAACACCTTGAGTTCTGTTCGAAAATCTTACCGTTCGCCATATCTCTAATATATATTTATAAAATTTTCAGCGTACAAACATCCTAACCCTAGTCTGATTATCATCACTAAAATTAGTCTTAGGTGGCGAGTTTATAATGGTATTTTTTTTTTCGTATTCTAATCTAACTTTGATTTTTTAATAATGGCATTTGGGAAAAGCCGGCGAAAAATAGTCTCGTTTTGCACTTCACAACTCCCATCGTACGTTTATGATGGTTGCGTTGTGGGAATTTCAACACGAGACGTTAAACTGAATATTACATATTAAAAAACTTCGTTTGGGATTGAACACCGGCGCACTCAGTGCGTTCAGTACGTTTATTATAATTTATAATACTACGTTATTTTGGACTTGCTGTTCATTAAAACTTTACGAATAAAGATTTTTGACACTTATATATTAAAATATATTATTATTTGAAAGACGGAATGACTAATCTATTACATTAACGTTTTTAGATTCATTGACTGCGGTTAAAATGTTTATACGAAAACAAACATTAATATAATGTTATCGTGAATTGAATAAATTTCACGGTGGGTACCAAAACGTAAAAAAAAAAAAAAACAATTATGATAAACAAATTGTCGAGATTTATTAAATGTATAAGTACGTAGTATTATTATAATTATAGGTAAAAAACAACGCACGAGATTATATTTGCAATCAAAATTCTAGTCACTATACGATCATAAATTAAAAACGGTAAATGTAATATTATGTAAATTTAAAAATCGATTCTTTTGTCGGTGGGCGAGAAAAATATACACGTAAATACGAACTAAACAATTTTTATGATTTTAAATTTGCGCGTCATTTTTTTGGCAGACCATGTAATAGGTACAATTACATTGTATTTCGCAAAATGATACGGAATCACATTAATTTTACTGTCAACCTAAGATAATCTGATAAAACAATAATTTATGCCACGTAAAACTATTAGAACGCTTATACAGTGTACCTACCCGGAAAGTATTATAATATTTTTGTCATTTAACTTTTTGGAATATGTTAACTAAATTTACCGGCGGTATTGCCGTAATAGAAAAGAATGTTCCACATTTTGTAATACTCTTGGCTACGAGTACATGTGTCTATTTCCGAATCAACAGTAAAATCCTATAATACGAATAATGCAGTGATGCTCCCATAGGGTATACCACACATACGCTGTATATTCTCAACATTTTGCTGAAAAATCACTGCGTGTACTCTAAAATAGTTTTGATAGTCAAAATAGTCAGATAAAAATGTAAAAACAAAAAAAAAACGAATTCGTCATGTTGTATAATATATTTATCAGTGCCCGTTCATACCATCACATATCACTTAAACCATAATATTACATATGTTATTTATTTCGATAATTATAACTAAAAATTCACAATCATTTTTTTTTTTTTTTTAATTTTCAGTCCTATTTTGGATATTTTAATTTAATTGAAATAATATAGCTTCTATAATACTATTATCATTTCATTACAAATGCGTGCAGTATTATCTTCTTACGAACAAATTGAAGGGAGGGGGTTGAAAGTAGCCGAATTGTGGGATTCGCGATGGAAGGGTTGAAGGTTGAAGGTCGGTTCATAAGTGATATTGACAAGATGTCAGATGCGAAATCTGTAAGCGCAATCTCGCGTATTCTTTTTTTTGTCATCGTAAAAACGGTTTTTTTTTTTTTTTTCGGAAACGCGAAATCCGTCTTGGTCAGCGGTCAGTCATATTCAAAAAAAAGTCCCTCAAAAAAATATACACACATTTTTATCCGACCTTAAAAAAAAAACACCTCGATTCTTAACTGTATCTAAAAATTCCGAATGGCGGAAGAAAATTCCCAGGCGGAGAAAAACTACACGGAAGCAGTTCGTGTTAGTCGTTCGCGTTTTAAGGCCGAAAATAATACACGTCCAAACTCCAAAAAAGACATTATAGAATACGATCGGATACGAGTTATAAAACGAAATTACCTCGTTCCGCGCGAATTGAAGAATATAATACCTACCTACGTATATTATTACACTGCGTGTACCCGTACGTGTATACTTCTCCTGTGGACAAATCGGGTATTCGTATTCAACGCCGAGTGTAACGGTTTAATAATAAATAACGTTAACACGCGCGTAATTAATTCAGGCGATTTAAATTAAATATTTAGACATACGATACATGTTTGGCCGTACAATAAAGCCGAACAAAAAAAAAAAAACGAATAAGTTATTCATCCGACGTTGTGTGAAACGGACACCGCGGCATAATCACAGAACGGTTATTTACGTCAATCGAAAAATTCGTGAAAATACGCCTAAACGACCTTCGTCACTGTATTATAGTCAATACAACGCGTGTTCTGAGAAAACGCTTTTTCAGTTTGTACAAACGATTGTATGTATCGTTCACGCGGAAGACACCCTGAAAGATGCGGACTCTCCGACTGACAGTACTTTTTATTTTGCTTTGGGTTCCTAACTTTTTTTCTAAAAAAAGATGGACCTACTTCGCACGCCGTTGAAAAGTTGGGAAGGTAGGATATAGAGGGGAATTGAATATATACCCGTACGAAACGATTAATCTTTGTTAACGAAAAACGATTTTGAGGTTACACATGTTTAAAAGGCCGTATTATTTACGATTTTTGCGAACATTTGATATTACAATTCTTAAAAAAAAAAAAATTAAACTCAACTTTTTCTTGTTGACCATTAAGTGCAACGTATCACGAACTTCCTGTTAAATTTTGAAGTATTTTAGTTTAGTCAAATAATTTTACTCGCAAAGTATCTACTGAATAAATATTACGTACAAATTTTGCAAACTTAAAAATTCTATAAATAACTTAAAAATTACTCAAATATTTTGAAAATGTTATCACGTTTCATAAATATAAGTTTTCTGTCCAAGTTTTAAGCCTATACGAAAATGTTATACTGAAATACAACAAAAATACAAAATTAAAAATAACAAAAGCATTATTTTCGTAAATTTTCCCTTTTTCCTAAGTTGTTTTCCTGTTTTTTCCAATTATTTTGAGAGCTGCTTGGAAAGTCAAAAACAAACCTCCCTAAAGGACCGCACAAGGCTAAATATCCCCATACTGGCCCTCTCCTTCTAGAAAAAAAATCGTCAAATGTCCGCCTTGGGTACCAGTTAGACAGTCTAGATAATAAGATTACTTATAACTGAGGTTCATTGATTCGATACGAGCGAATCACCGTAATTGTTTTCGTGGCCCTCTATCACGACTCCGCGAGGCGCGCTCACGCATTTTCGTTGACAAGTAAGCGTTTATCATATTATCGAACATGTTTTTCTCTTTTGTATCAATTAAACCTAAAGTATCTTGATACTAGTTTTTAACATTCTTACAATTATTTAATATTAACAATTCAAAAATCATAGTAATTCTTAACAAAAACATTAATCTGTTTGAATTTTTGTTTTAAGTGGCCTGCACACGGCTTATTTTTCTGTTTAAAACATGGTTTACCGCCTCTCTAGAGACATGCGATTTTGATTTGATTTTATTTTTTGATTGAGGACGATTTTCTATATTGACGTATTGGATTTCAGTTTGTGATTCTAAAACCAAAAAACAAATTAAATAAAAAATTGGTTGAAAACCTTGAACCTATTAAATATTTTATTCGTATACGTTTTTTTTTTTTTTTTTTAGAGGAATGATATAAAGCTCAATTTATTAAGAATAATTCAAACAATTCGAGACTATCGGATAATTTACATACTATTCGGAAATATCGAATATTTTCGAATCATTCAAATATTTGAAATTCGATCGAATAGTTCGAATGTGCTGGACTATCGAATAATTCGAACAGTAGTATTCGATAGTGCTGATCACTAGTAATTAAATTAACTGTATTTAAAGAAATAGGTAGTTTTAAAATGCCGGATACACTTCGCATCATGGATAAGCCACCGTAACCTAGGCGGAGAGTTAATAGCTGATATATGAATCGGTAAATCCATTAAGAGCAGTATATTATGTTCAAATTTTAAACTTATTCAAGAAAGAAAATAAACTCCAATAGATTTTTCTCGTATATTTCTATGGCGTAAGTACTTCAAATAAAGCACCAGCAGACATATTTTAAAGTATGGAAAAATCGCAATATTTGTTACTAATCGAAGAAATGTTATGTACGACCCGCGCTCGGCGTTGCCCATGTCAATTTTTCATTCTTTTTACCTTTATTACCGTTTTGATTTGCCCGTACCAGTACATTAAACGAAAAAATAGGTGGGCCAGTGGCAAACTAAAGTGTTCTAGTGTTTCATGTATTTTTTCATCAGTGTTACCAAAGTAAACTGCATAGAACGGGGATTAAACTGTGTATATCCATCATAATTACGTTAAAATTATGAGGATATAATAGTACTGTAGTAGTGCAGTGTCGTTACTGTACCAAAAAATACCAAAAACCATTCAAAGATGATGTTTTACGTGTTTTCACGTTTCACTTAATCCCCCCCCCCCAAGTACAGCAAATATATTTTGTTGTTTTTTTTCATTCATGTTATCAAGTTGGCTCATCTTATTTCAAACCAATAATGGACTGGCAGACAGTCAGATACGACTCTTTATTTTAAGTTGTTATGAAGTTTTTATTTATGTTTAATGTTTATTTTTTGTATTAAATTGTTTTTTATTTCAACTGTGTAACAAAAGTGTCCAATAATTCAACAAAAATAATTTAATTTTCATACGAAAAAAAACCCTTTCATTCCCTTCTGGTCATTAATTGAAATGAAGACTGTCCAATCTTTTAAGTTGGACTAAATCACACACATTGAGCATTGAGCATTTTATCCAAATCGGTCGAGTAGTTTCAGAGTGCATCTGATCGTGATTTTTGTATACCGATAAGAATACATTTGTAAAATATGATAGGTGCGTTTTAATTATTAAATATCGATTGAATAGTAAATCTAATATATAAGTACTTCTTTAATTTGGAATTTAAATAATTAAAAAAAAAAAAAGCTGACACTGGGGATGGGAGTGGCCACTACTATAGATGAGAAGTTGGGAGGGTAAGATACATAAGGTTATTTCATTTATATTTGTAAGCAACGATAAACCATTGCTTGACGAAATACGATTCCGAGCGCAGTTCGGTAATACATAATTTGAAGTGCCGTAGTTTTTTTTCGTGATTTTCGTTTAAATTTGATTTCAAAATGCTTATTAAAAAAAAAAAAGTCAAACAATGATTTTGGAAATTTTACCACGTCTAAGTAAGTCCATAATAAGTATTATTACCAAGTTTCAAATCTCTACGTGTATTTATAACCAAATTACAGCAAAAAATTCCCAAAAAGTAAAATTCCCTCAAATATGGCTCAAAAATTTTGACGATGATACCGTAGCAAAGGAAATAAAAAGTCAACAAAAAAGGTGTCTTGTAATTTTTCGATTAAATCATTTTTTATGGTAGAAAACGTGTTTTTATAAAATAATGAAATCGTAAAATTGTACGTTTTCCTACATTTTTTCCCGCTTTTAAAAAATTGCGTAAAAAATCAATAATCTCTCTATTGTACAATCTAGACAACTTGAGCTTCCAGAAAAGTTTCTGTACGTAAAAATCGGAGCAAGTTTACTAGGTAAAAAACGTGTCCACAGACTAGAACAAAGAAAAAAATATACAGTATTGTAAAACCAATAGCTCTCTCCCTACGCTCGGAATCTAAAACTAGAAATTTAATTAAACAGACAATGCAATTGATTATTGTGCCGTACAGGTTCGAAACGATATCAATCGTTCTATCTGTGTAATTAATTTGAATTTGAATATTAAATGATAAAAACGACCACCCTAAACGGATTTATTAGATAGGTATCTTGGAGTGTCACTTTTCGCTCAGGATTTTCGAAGACTATAAAACGACGTTTAGATAATTTAAAACCGATTGCGGTAATAAAAAAAAAAAAAAAACCATTGGATTTAATTGGATTTAATAATACCAATAATAGACAAAAAAAAAAACACAACAAATAAGTCGGAGAAATGTACACAGTCTCTCGAGAAATACGCAGTCTATATTATTAACAGTAGTAAATTATATTTTTGTCGTATTTGATAATTATCATCCGTCGATAAAGTGTTGGAATTATCGAAGGTTCCCGATTACCGCGGGGCTTCGATTACGATTATGCCTGCATATATGTGCGTATTCTCATATCGTTGCGATAGTTTGTTCCTATATGCGCACATAATTTACGACCTACGGTTTAGTGATTCCGTACAGAGCGTAATATGCCGAAATGAATACACCTAAGCTAACCCATAACGTTGAATTATGTGCCCGTACATGCTAAACAAAAATATACGGCATAAAAACACCGTCGTATACGTTGTCCAGATAGATTAGATTTACACTTGCGCGTAATAGGAAAAATGGCCACTCGGTACCGGACACCGAGAATACGATTAATAATTATTATTATTATTATTATTATTTTTTTTTTTATTTCTAAACTCCACCGATATCGTTTGAATATAAAGTTAATAGGTTGGCAAGCTTCGTGTATATTATTTTCATATCGTAAAAACACGCCTGTACAGCGCTATTCCATAATTTCGATGGCGCGTTTACAATCATTCATTTTCGGGCGACTATAAATCATTGAGCGGCTCGGTTTTCGTATAAGATTTATTTTTTTTTCGGTGCTTTTACCAGCCACAAAGTGCTTTTGCTGGTTCGACCGAATCCTCTTCCGTTCATCTCGATTAATCGAACATGCTACTTTGTCGAGTTCATTAACTTCCTCGGGGTCGTGGGTCTTACGATTCGGGTTGATAATTAATATAAAGCACTCGTCTCGTTAAAGTCTTCTCGGGTCGCGAAAAACCTTTCGCAAAACTTTAACAGGAAAAAAAAAATATATAAATATGACAATCCGATCAAAAAATTATTTAAACATTATAACCTTGTACGAAAATTCATTACGTCGGATAAAATATAACATATCTTAATATTTACCGATTCCATCTACTCAACATAATAATACTATAATATGTAGTCGAATTAAGATCGGATTGCCACGGGCAAATACTAAACTCTGCATTTCAGCCCCCTGAATTTGTATGATTAAATATATTTATTTATTAAAAAGGTAAAATTGTTTTGTTTTATTACCCCGGTAGTATCGACGTAAGTTTATCATAATTTTACGTATAAACTATTACGTTCATTGTTCCATTATGTATGTACTTAAAAAAAAAAAAACGGTTGATA